AGTATTATAGTTTTTCCAACAGAATTTGAAGTTGAACGCAGTCGCATGCTTTTGCGAGATCGAAAAGGCGTGCCTCCGTCTCAAAAAAAAAGAATGGTAGGCCTACCCGTTTAGGAGAGGTGTATATGATCTGACAGTTTAATTTTAATTTGTTTCCATATTTGTAGGAAACATGTGTATCTGTAATGTGTGCCTTCGCGCAATACGAAAATATACCTTTAATATATGGCGTAGCGTGACCCAAAAGTCCTTGATCTGCTGCTGATCTTGAGCCTACCGATTCTGTCGCGTATTTCAACGAAAATACTGAAAGGCGTGCTTCCGTCTTCCAAAATACAGGAATATGTTTATTTTTATTTAAAAAAAAGAATGGTAGTCCTGCACGTTTAGAAGGGGAGTATATGATCCGAGTTTGGGAGATAAAGAAACGGTAGAAGTTATGCGTTTTGCGATAGCAGAAGGCTCAATACGATAGGTCTACCGTAAAAACGGTAGATCATGCATCACTGCTTCTATCACTCTCAAGCGCCGTTCTCGAGGGTAGAATAAATGTAGGTGAACAAAATGACGGTGAATACTACTGCAGTGAAGAATAAATAGCGCAGGATATAGCGTAGGTAAAAAAATGCAAGGAATTATTTCACCAGAAATTCCTTTATGAATGCTATTATAAGAGAGAACTTCGAACAGAGTACGAGTACGAGACTTTACTGTAATCGTCCAAAATATATTTTAATAGGTGTAGGCGGCCGGAGAAGTATCGCTTTTGAGGAAAAATAAAAATTTTAGAGTAGAAATATGATGTGAAGATTTGTGACCTTTTTTGCAGAACTATGGAGATTTGAATAATTACAGCAGTACGAATACGTATCGTAACTGATATCGCAACTACTGTGTGTAGACCGGGATATTTCTTCCTACAACTCAAAAAAACAAAACAAAACGTTGTGTTTAAGGATTGCAATCCCGCGCAGGATCCCTAGGGTTTCCGCACCCTTAAAATAATATTATATAATTTGAAATACTCCAGAGCCTTTTCGCTTAGATCACAATTGTAATTTTGTGTGCAAAACTCTGCGATCCAAGCAATCCTTTCCATAATATAGTAACCAATTATTATCAACATTTTCATGACTACTCTTCCCTACCTGGGCTCAAGAACAATTATCAACTATTTTCAACATTTTATTAAAATTAGTAATACTTTATGAGCTGCAGAGAGGACTTATACATATCTATTTAACGTTTTAGCTACAGGGACGCTCTTATTTATTAAGTTTTTGTTGTCTCTCACAACACATATAAATATTTCTTGTTTTATTCAAGTACGCAATATTATTTTTATATGCTATTTTGACATATTGTCACAAAATATCCGCAGGAATGTCGCCAATGCGAATGCGAATCGTTTTAAGAGGGTTCTTTTGTCGTCAGCTGATACTTCATTACACTTTAATATTTGTTTTTTTTTTTACTTCAACTACCACGAAGGCCTAAGGCTTAAGCACCCATTGGATACCGTGGGGCTATAGGGGGATACATGGGAAAGGGGGAACGCCACACGGACTCTGGCGAGGGAACACGTGTGCATGTCTACTACTGCGGCCACCGCTGCTGCCTGTGAATTGTGACTCCAGTCCAGAAGGGATAACACCAAATCGTCTTGAACTAGGCAATTTTTTATGGCTGTGGAATCAATGAATGGACGAATAAGCATATCTATAATATTGAACCGCTTTTGAAAACGATCCAACAATCTTTAAAAAAATTTAAACTTAAAAGTTTGCCTCTAAATAATTTTGATATCTTTCTTTCTCAAAATACCTACTCTTTGAATAAATTCAACTCACTAAGCTTCGCAAACGATTTACAAATAAGTTTTATAGAGAAAATCATGACCTATCTTCAGGGAAGTAAAATTTTAGACAAAAAAAAGGGTTAAACTCAATTTTCCGCGACACACTTTTGCAGAGCCAACAGAACTAAATTCATTCATAAAATAAGGGGAATATTTTAAAAAGTTTACTACCATATTGTGACGGCAAAGAAAGACACTGTTCTAGAATTTCGATCGAAGGTCAGTACTGAATCTTAACCTCACTCTTTAGTAAACTTAAATTCAAAGTTTCACAACAATACGTTTCCCGTTGGTATCGAGAATTCAAACGTGGACGAGTCTTAGCGACGATTCCAGGGTGGGTGCACCAAAAACGGCAGTCATCCAGAAAACGTCGATGCTGTGCGCAAACTCATCATTGAAGATAGACATTTGACATATCGTGAGATTGAGGTATCCTTGAAGATCTCAAAGACCTCAATTCAAAAAAAATTACATGAAGAATTAGGAGTAACAAAATTACAATGCAAGCTCGCACACAGCCCAGAAAAGCAAGGCATTATTTAACCGAAGAAAACGTGGAAATATTGGACCATCCTCCATATAGTCCCGATCTAAGTCCTAACGATTTCTTTACTTTCCCGAACAGACTGCGTGGTCAAAGGTTCCAGTCACCAGAAGAAGCAGTTGACGCATTCAAAAATGCCGTTTTGGATCTGCCGGCAAACGAGTGAAATAAGTGCTTCGAACATTGGTTCGAGCGCATGCAGATGTGTATTAATCTTAGTGGAAAATATTTCGAAAAACAATAAAGTCATTTAAAACTACCTACCGTCTTGTTTTATTTCACTTAAACACTTAAAAGACATCCCTCGTACACATACTCGCTGTTGCGGAAAAATAGTATACTGGCTTCTGTCCTCGTTCAGTGGTACCGTGAAAATTGCCCATGAGACAACGTGGTGCAACTAGAAAGCGATTCGAGATAGCCTACGTATCCGGTTTGTGTCATTTGAACGCTGCCAGGTGGGGCATCAAGAAGCTTGAAAGAACAGCGGTATAAGCACGTGGGAAGAACTGAACTTGTCTCTAAAAGCCGATCATGAAAGTTGCCTGGCAGCTCGTGCTGAAAAATAGCGGGTGTAGTGTAGGTTTGATTCCCGCCGACGCCCATTTTTCCTTTCTCTGTTGTTGATGAAATTTGAAATTCGTATTTCACGGGCTACAGCTCAACCAGCATGGAGAATCTTAATATGTGTGATGTTGCATTTGTCTTAGCAGCCCGAGTGATGCTGGCTATACTTACAAAATGGCGAATTCAACCTTGAAGTTCCTATTTCACGGGTTACATCTTGAACGACTTGATGGGCTCTGACATCTGAGGTGTCTATAGATTTCTCGTGGTTACTCAAACCTTCATTCATTTCAGTGACTGAAATCGGGTTGTTCGTATCTTTCAACAATGTATTTATTTATTTATAAAATCTCAGCAACTACACTTAAAATATGTTGCTCTTTTTACTTCCCAAATCTATATTTCGTAAAGACCAGTGTTCACTTACTACTCTTTAGTAAAGTATTTTACATTTATTTCTCACAAAACATCCATAAAAAAGCATAACAAGCCAGTATTCTATCAGAAACAAAACTAGTACAACAATAAAAATGACGTCATTGAATTAAGCAGCAAGTGTATAGAAGCCAAATCTTAACAAAAGTATGTTTTCGCAAGCCTTTAAAAAATAACCTACTAGGTTCTGGTGTCCCAAGCCAAATTGGCAGTTATATGAAAGATCCATTCATTTCAGCTGATTGGTTTCCACATCACGAGGACTTGATTTGGCATGAACATATCTCGCCTATCACAACAGCTGCTAGGTAAGGTCTAGGTTACTTGTTTAGGGCTAAGAAGTACTTTTCTCCGCGCAAACTTTTAGCTATATATATGACCCGGATAAGGTACTGCTCACATGTTTGGGGCTCTGCCGCTCCAACTACGATGTCCATACACAATGTTATTCACAGGAGGGCTGCTCGACTGTTCTCTAATAGGAACCCTTTCGCACGGACGAGCAGTCGGCGATTTTGCTCTCTTCTACCACTATATCCCGGGGCACGCTGGGATAAGGGGCAATGAGACGGCGGACACTCTGGCGAAAACAGGATCAGCCAGCAAGCTCGTTGGTCCTGAGCCAGCTCTAGGAGTGACCGCATATAGAGCTCTCAGAAATGGAGAAGTATCTCCAGACATCTCCGCCAGGCACGGGAACTCATTGAAGGGCCCAGTGCTAAGGATGGACGCTTCTGCCTATCTCTGGATAGAGCCAACCTAAGGTTGCTGGTGGGACTGTTGTCTGGCCATAACACGTTAAGACGTCACCTGCACGTGATGGGGGTGGCTGAGGATCCCTTGTGTGAACGCTGCGGAGTAGAGGAAGAGACCTCGGCGCACGTTTTGTGTCGCTGTGAAGCTCTGAGCTACTATAGGCAGACTATACTGGGGTCCATTACTTTGGAGCCTCAGGACATCAAGGAGCTTGGACTCAAGACGATTCTCAACTTCGCTGAAAGGGCGAGGCTTGTGATTTAAGGATTGTATAGGTGCATAAGGTCCCGCTTAAGCAGCCTATGCACTGGCTCCTTATGGTGGCCCGCATGCCTCTAATTTCAAGATTCATTCATTGCACCACTATATCAAGAGGCTTTGCTCCTCAGAGATCTCCGCGTGTTCAGCTTGCCCGACAGACCTGCCAGGCTTTAGATGCTCTTTCGTTCCTAGGGTGTGGAGATTGTGCAACAGTCTACCTGATGAGATTTTTTCCAGTTCGGCTAACCTTAGTCAGTTCGGAAATCGGATTAAAAAGAAGTCTTTAAGTTCCTTATTACAGCCCAGGTGCCCCGGAATTAAGGCGTCTTACTACGCGACTACTTCAGTATGAGAACGAATATCGGTCGATTCACATATCTGCAAAGTAGACCGTTATATTGCCGATATGCCAGCATACATATCGGTACCCAGAGCATGACAACCCATCGAAAATACGGTGCATTTTTCGAAAATCTCTGTATAAGTGACGCGCGTTAGTCGTTGGCCTACGCATGACGCCCATGCCGCGCGTATATAAGCGACAAACGGCCGAAGAAGTTCAGAGTTATACACGAAGTTCTTTGCCAGTTACGCCTGCACGAATAATTGCAGCTATGGGCCGGTTCAGACATCAATGTGCGAAGTTCGCGATCCTCATTGTTTTTGTGAGTTACGCAGTGATGGCTACCTATGTTGGTAAGTTGATAAGTGATATCTATACAGGGTCATTTTATTTAACTTATGCTTATTGGTGTCTTTTCGATCTAACCAATTTCCTTCTTGGGAAGCTCTTTTTTAAATATTCCTTGTGACTTTCAATTATTGAACTTGATTTCATGAAGTCAGCTAGGGTAGCTGACAACACAACCTGTTACTTTTTATTTGAAATTGCTTTAATAACTTTGTGAAAATTTGTCAAAAGTTACGTTATGACTGAAAGATACATAATTTAGCGATAACTTCTCATTCGATGTAACCCTTTATAAATTCATCAATTTCTATTTTTTCTGTTGACTATTATTACTTATTTGAACTATTTAAATAGCCGGAACGAAATCGAAACCATGAGTCCCCAGACGAAGCAGTTGTTATAATTTCGAAGAAGTTCTCAAATTGAGATATGCTTATAAACTTTTTAAGATCACTACTATCAAAACTTGTTTTCTCGGCACTTATTGCCGGCAATTTTTGAACCGGCTATCGGTGTATCGGTGGCGAAGCAGTTGATAAGTCAGCTATTATACAAAGTCATCCAAAACTATCTAGCATTGAAAGTTTCTCAAGGACTGATAAACAACCTGATGAAGGGTTTATGAATATTCTTCGATTTAGGAAAATTATATGACACTGTGGCACATCAAATGCTTCTGGATAGAATAAATGACTTATGAATTAGGCGAATTGCAAATGATTCCGGTTAATGCTGATGTGCCATAGGTGACAGTGGGGATTCCCTTTCTTCAATATTCATATGGATGGGATATTTGTAGCATTTAGATGCATAGATATTTCTTGTTTTGTCGATGACACTGCAGCTTTTTTATACTTGAACAACCAGGAAGGCCTGCGCTAAACACCTAGTAATTATTGATCGAGATAGTTGAGATACAGTATTTCAAAAGAATGGAACATGCTATAACCAAAATTAGGATCCAGCTCAAAATGTTTTATTATTGAATGGTGAAACGGTGATACTATTGGAAGCTGTCAATGTAAGAATGTAATTCGAAAAGAGCAAAGATAACAGTTATTTACCTAACAAGTGCGGAAAATACTCACGCAAATGTTGGGTATTCGATTTTTTGTAACAGCGTGCGATAAGTACTGACTTTAAGCATGCATCTGCGTGCAGAAAGTAGCGCATGTGCGGAAACTGTACGCGTGCGGAAAAGTGCCACTTTCTGCGCGCAGATGCGTGTTGAAAGTAAATACTCTCCGCACGCTGGTTGAAAAAAAAATTACTGCTGAAAATTTAAGGACTCGCTTAGGTTATACAACAAATGAAATCATAAATATATTGTATGACCTTCAAAATACGTCATTTGGCATTTTTAAATGGGGTACATAGTATTGATTCTATTCGAACTTATGGTACGAACATATTACTAAAATTCTGCTATTTATGAATAATCAGTTTTCAACAGATTCAAAACATAACACTTATGATCCAACTAAACATCACATTATCGGATGGATTCCGAAAAACTTGGTGGTATTGTATTTTATTTAAATGAGAGTATGTATATACGCATGCTTCGAATAAACTTATTTATTTATAATAACAAGTTCATTATAATTTAATATCTCAATTGGATGTCTGCATGTACAGATTTGCAAATGAATTCATTAATTTTGACAGTGTATTTTTATTTTTACTATTCGTTCCATATCACCATTATCTTATTTTACTCTGTTCTGTGGACAGTTTATAAATGATTCGTTCAATAATAATGCCATCGTGTATGATTAACGAAGCAGCAATTTAACACATCTAGGATTACACATTGTCAATGCAAGGTTATTAAATAATAACCAAAACCAGTTTATGTTTACGTTATATGGATCTTGTTTTTTTACAAGGGCTTATCCAAATGTGTAATGAACTTTGATATGTGGAGCAAAGTTGGTACACCATGTATAGTTGCCAATATTTTAAAAATGTGCCCTCAGATACCATCATATATAATCATCCATTAATTGTTTTATTTGAAAACTTTTTGTTTAGGAGCGATACCCGGTCCTCGTACGGTTGGGACACCCTGTATCTAGTTTATAACGTGGCACTCTCAGCATTTTGCATAACGTAACATGATCCTCTCCAAATCATGATGCCATAGATGAAATAAAATGACAACAAAAATATGCACCAAAATGACAATCTTATTCATTCTAAAAAATGAAAATGTATTCAGCGAGCACGCACCGTCCCATCCGATTGCCTTACCATTATCTACCTCGAAGTTTTGATCCAATTTAATATTATAAAACTAATTGTCTGTTTTTCTTTTTAAATATATCCACTACATCGTGTCTTATAGTGAGTCTTCATAAGGGCCAAACTTGTTCTGCGCAGACAGTCCTTAGGCTTGAAAAAGATCTTTCTGGGGTAATGGTAGCCAAAATTTGTAGCAATGTGTAGATATTTGGATATAGTTTTCGAAGGCACTTTAGGCATTCCAAAGCAGATTTTGGAGTAGTGCATTCTGTGAAGGTGCTTGTCATAACTGCGTTCCATACTTCAAATTACGCTTTAATCACAGATTCATTTATTTCGGAAAGCACTGATGAGTACAGTTCAATTGCCGCTTCGATTTCAGAATGGGTCACAAAATTCGTAGGAAACACACAAAATAGTACTGATATCACTTTACGGTGATTCGTAAACCTTTTAGTCAATTGCTGAATTGTATGTGTAAGGAATGGGTTGAATAAATTTATTTTGAAATAAGCGCAGAAATGTTAGAGCGGTTCAACTGCCTTCCGACGATCCGCGGCATCCCGACTGTACCACCATTTGCTTCTTCATAACGATGGGAATACTCGTCGTCAGTTTTAATCCTCAAAAGTTGCGAAGCATTAATAACACCGTCCACGTGGCTGAATGCTGTGATGAGGCCAGTTATTGACCTTTAATTATAGTTTCAAATAGTTTCGGAAAAATATTTTTTATAACTTTCACAACAGTTTCATTTAACCGATTATTTATATATAAAAGACTGCAATGGTCGAAAAAGACCATACAGTCCATGGATCACAGATAACATTAAGTTTATGAAAAGGCTTCGAAATCAAGCTCTTTCTCGTTTTAGACGAACGCACCAACCTGGTCATCGAGCCTATTCTAAACAATTAAGAAACCTGACCACTTCTGCTATTAGAGCCGAAAAAAAGGCATATGCAAATTTAAAGTTTCAGAATTGCTCAGAAAAGGAAAAATGGGCTGAACTAAACAACTAAATATATTTAGAAATAAAAATAAATACATCCCTGACCATTTAAGGAATGTTAATGAACTTATTACCTACTTTGCCCAAATATCACAAAATAATACTCCAAAACAAGAATCGTTGCATTTCTATAACAACAACTCCTTGCTTAATCAAACCTTCTCATTCAACCTAATCGACGAAGATTTTGTTTTAAATAGTATCCTCAGTATGATGACGAAGACTTTTGGCGCTGATAGCCTGAACGTTATCCTGATTACCTTGTGTTGCCCTTTTATAGCTCCTTATATTACCCATATTATAAATAGTTGTATTAAAAGGTCTTATTTTCCTAAAAGCTGGAAGCTGGCCAATGTTCTTCCATTAGCTAAGGTTAACAATGCGACAGAATTTGGTCAACTACGTTCAATCTCGCTTTTACCGACACTTTCTAAACTTTTGGAAAAGGAAATCGCTATACACGTTGCTAACTACGTGTTTGCCAACAATATCATCCCTCCTAGACAGTCCGGCTTTAGAACCGGGTACAGTTGTTCCACAGCATTAACAGATCTTGTGGATGATGTCATCAGAGAACAGAATGCGGGAAATGCTCTTGTCTTGGTGTTATTGGACTACACGAAAGCATTTGACATGACTAATCATGAGATACTAGTGGCTATTTTGAAATATATTGGATTAGAGCAGCCGACCTATGCATTAACTTTGGACCGGAACATATCAGATGCAGTTACAATTACATCAGGGGTGCCCCAGGGCAGTATTTTGGGTCCATTATTGTATAGCCTATATACTTTTAATTTCATGAAGGCGTTATTGTCAATATCATCTTTATGCTGACGACACTCAAATTTATACCTCTTTTAAACCTGATCTGTCCATAACAAACCGACTGAATACCGACTTGAATAGCCTTCCCAAAACCTCTGAAGATCACTTGTTAAAGATAAACCTTAGTAAATCGACGGCTATATTGTTTTGTAGTGATTCCTGCAAAAACGTATTAAGCTCAAACTAGGGGACAATATAATATCATTTAGGGATTCCATGAAGGATTTGGGCTTAGTTGTTGACTCTAAACTTAAGTTTAGAGAGCACATTACTCTGTGCCTAAGAAGAGCATATTGAATGTTAAAAATAATTTGCCCCCATAGACATTAGCTATCACAAAATACTAAAGCCACGCTCTGCGAAGCTTTAGTGTTGTCCCACTTCAACTTTGCTTATATGGTGTATGGCCCATTTCTTGATAGTGTGGAACTAAAACGGGTTCAAAAAGCTCAGAATTCTTGTCTGAGACTGATATTAGGCATAAGGGGTAGGCAAAGAGTATCCCACAAACTACCTGAACTGGGATGGTTGAATATGGCGCAGAGGCGTACCTTGCACTCTACTTCCTTTTTTACAAGATTATAAAATTAAAAGCCCTCCCTATCTTCACTTAAAAATTAGTTACCGGACTGATGTACATAATCTAAACATTAGAAGATTGAATTTGATTACAATACCATCACACTATAAAGAATCATTTAAGAAATCATTCTCATATCAAATTACATTTTGGGTAAATAAATCCAAAATTAAAGATTTTTCTCTATCGGGAGCTTCATTTAAGAGGAACCTTAAAAGTGATTTACTATATCCATATTTCCGATGAATGGAAAGAACTACTATGTTCAATTTCAACAACGTTCGAAGTTTAAAGTTGCAACACATCTGAAAACTTTTTTAAATCTGCTTTTGTTAGCAAAGAAAAATATAAGTTTAGCATTTCAACCTACCTAATTTTCCAGTATTAAAAAAGCTGCAAATATGTGAAATATAGTACATATTGCAACATCCATCCCAGTTTTTATAAGGTTTATATAGGAAAAAAAAAGGTTGTATTGTGCTTGCCAAGTTCACATATGATAAAACCCTATCCTTTACGTACCGGCCGCCGATCTATGGTTCTATCGAAGAATCCTCATAGAATCCGAAAATATTGAAGTTACTCAAGAAGTAGTTGGTACAGCTGATAATGCTTATGACCCGATTCATCATTTATGTAATTGAAGATTTATTTTTGTTACCCCTTTTTTAAGTTGTTTTAGATTTGTTCTCTTTGACTGTTGAAACTATTTGAATTAACCTTTCCATTATTTCAATATAACGTTCGGGGCAAAAACCAGGTAAACCCAAACTTCTTAGAAAAAAAAAATAAAAAGGTTTGCTTCATGTCGTTATGTTATTACGTATTAAGCAGGTTTTTCATTACCTCGTCTATACCCGAAAACAGAATGGTTTCCTTTTCCATGATTTTAAAACAGAATATTCGGTTTTTTACTTTTCCAAAACTTTCTATTATATGATTTACCTGATTTTTGAAGTAATTTATGTTATTCTCAAAACAGTCATAGTACGCACCATTTGCCGTCTGTCTACGATCATACCACTGCCCCCCCCCCCCCCCCAGTGCATATTGCCGACCGGGACTTTTTCCTTGAATCCGCCACTGGTCCGTCAAAAAGTATTTTTTATCAAATATACTCACAGCTTAAGCGCGCACGAAGAATATTTTCCTACATCAAGCGGACCGTATAGGCAACCAGTCTTGCGCTGTCGTCTATAAGCTTGCAGCTAAATCAAAGTTGACGGATGTAGCGCTGCAAGTGTTTATTAGAAAATACCAGCACGGCATCCATTTAATATGTGCATTACAGATTTATCTAAGAGATTTGGAATTTGGTGATCGAACTAAATTCGCCTGGGGGGTCATGACCCCCCCTGGATCCGCGCCTGGATAGCACAGGTTATGAAAATGTCATAATAACGTGTTTGTTACATATTAGATCAACATTTAGGTATGAGAAGGATATCCGCGCATTGGGTGCCGCGTTTGCTCACGTTAGACCAAAAACGTGTGCGAATGAACATTTCCAACGCTCTGTTGGCGTAGTTTAGGCGCAATAAATCCGTGTTTTGGCGCCGATACGCTCGAAATAAAAATACAGCCAAAACACCGGCTACAAAAATAGCAAAAACTGGGAAAGTGATGGCAACTGTCGGAAACTTTTCAACCCCCACCCCCCCAAGTAAAGTCGTCAACAGGGCAAACGCTATTTATTGGTGATAAATTGGCACGGGAGGCATCTCTAATCAAATACTGCCAAACTCTCGTTTCGTTATTGAAATATAGTTTGTTCTGTACAAGAAGCCGGCAATTACGAGGAAAAAAGTTGCGGTCGCAAAATTTCCAAAAGATTAGTGTATATAGTACACACTCGTACAATAATGTCGTAAAAGTGTCCGTTTACACGAACTTCAATATATTCCGCTTGAAAGCAAAGCTACGAGACAAAAGGTACATTCACATACCGATCCTGCTTTACATGACGTCTGCGAGATACACGAGTAAACTTTTTAATGTAAGAGGATAGAATTTCAGGCTTCATGAAATAAACTTGATTCTTAGTATTTTTAAATTATCTTGTCCCTTTGCGGTAATGTAGTTCTAAAGTTAGTCTCAGGTTCGCACATTTTTGTATGTATTGAATATTTCATTTCCAGATGTACATAATTTTAAGTCAAGTTCTTAATCAGCTCTGAAGATTATTCTTCATTCAGAAATTGTAATTTCTACATATTGTATTTTGATACGATTAAATGAACTTTCGTACTTTTTCTTGATCTACCCAAGAAATATTTCCACGCTTTTCTGAAACCCTGTATATCAATTCTTTGGAAACTGGTATTTTCACCTCCAAACCCGTTTCATACGTAGAAAAACTCTCCTCTGCAAGGCAAGGCATGTCAATTCCTTGAACAACACAATTTAGCTTTTGTCCACTTTTTTCTAAAGGACTTCGTCGAATTGTATTTCGGTCATCCCTTGTTAATGTTATATAGGTTTGTACAGAATCAGCAATAGTAGAAAACGCCAAATCGAATTACCACTCAAATCACTGACAGTTGTGGACGTGCTACTCTGAAGATAGCTCTTTGGGATAAAATTTCTGTATATTAAAGTCCATTATAACGGGTGATTTTTTAAGAGGTATAGGATTTGATTTTCAAAAAAAACTAAAAAAATTTGAAAAAACGATTTAATCTTTATTTGAGACGATAGAACGGTCGATATAATTTAATGTTTAAAGATTATTTCATGTAAATGTTGGCCGCGGCTCCACTTTAGATGGCCCATGCGCAAGGTCCAATTTTGGCACACTCTCTCCAACATATCGGCCGGTATCTCACGAATAAATGCTTCAATATTGGCTTCCAGTGCTTCAATCGTTGCTGGTTTATTCCTGTAGACATTAGCCTTAACATGGCCCCACAAGAAATAGTCCAACGGCGTTAAATCACACGATCTAGGCGGCCAATTGACGGGCCCCAAACGTGAGATAAACTGTTCACCGAACTCGCCTCTCAATAGGGCCATTGTTTCGTGCGCGGTGTGGAATGTGGCACCGTCTTGTTGAAACCACATGTCAGCCAAGTCCAGCTCTTCCATTTTGGGCCAAAAAAAGTTTGTTATCATCGCACGGTAGCGCTCGCCATTCACAGTTACGTTCCGGCCATTGTCGTCTTTGAAGAAGTACGGCCCGATGATGCCACCGGCCCATAATCCACACCAAACAGTGATTTTTTCGGGATGCATTGGTAGCTCTTGCAATGCTTCTGGCTGGTCTTCACTCCAGATGCGGCAATTTTGCTTGTTAACGTACCCATTCAACCAGAAATGAGCTTCGTCGCTGAACACAATTTTTCGATAAAAATGTGGATCTTCCTCCAACTTTGCCAGCGCCCATTCACCAAATTGGTAAAGTGTGGCTTCAATTCTTGCACCAGCTGTATCTTATAAGGTTTTACACCCAAATCCTGTCGCAAAATTTTCCACGTAGTGGAGTAACAGAGGCCCAATTGCTGCGAACGGCGGCGAATCGACATTTCACGCTCATCACTAACACTGGCGGATACAGCCGCAATATTTTCTTCAGTCTTCACTCTACGTCTGCGTGTTGGTGGTTTAATGTCCAATAATGTAAACTGGGTTCGACATTTAGTCACAAGCTTCCGAATAGCTCGCTCAGTAGGCCGACCAAATTGCCCATAAATTGGAAGCAGTGCTCGATACACTCTCTTAACCGAGCATGAATTTTGATAGTAAAATTCAATAATTTGCAAGCGTTGTTCGTTCGTAAGTCGATTCATGGTTAAATTATAGACCAAACTGAACAAGTTTGACAATGACACAAGACACGATTCACGCGTCATCTGTCAAAAACAGTGTTGCCAAAAAGATACTAGCAAAAAAATCACCCATTACAAATAAGTCGAGAAAAAATCATTTATAAACGTCAACTCTCGGTATTACAAACTACCGGATTTTGAATTGCAGGTGAACTGTAATTTTATTGTTATCCAGATGTCAGCTCTTAAATCGTATTTATCAACGTTCGGTTTGTCCAAGTTGAATAGATAGTTGTAGTTTAACAAAAGGGTAATGATAAGACAGTTAGACAAGGCGAATAAATTAGAAAGAGATAGGAGATGTAACCCAAATCAAGACAACCACAAATCAGCTGATCGCGTCTAAACACCTGCTGTTCTTTCTCTGTGGCAACTATTTGAAAGGGCATAAGTCAATTTTTTATAGGTACAAAATCGACTTGAGTCCCTTTTAACAAGGAGACTAGACGAATTTGGTCCGAGCCTGAATTTTGATTGTGATTTTAATGGCTTTTTTTCATATATCCACTTGTACAATTTTTATGAATCGTCTTCTCAACGAATTTGCAATGTTGTCAACAAGTTGACTTATGCCATTTCCACTATTTACCATAATTTGATGAGAGATAAATACGGTATTGCCAGGTGGATAATTCTTTTTGGTTAATTCATTGTACATCACTTATTGTGAAAGCATTATTCAAATTTCTATGTCATGATCTACGAAAAGGAATTTTCTATAGCACTATCGATTTCAGTGGTAAAACACATACACCTACATATTTATGTCTCCAATACGAACGGTTGCTGAGATGTTTATTTTGAGCATATACCGTACGATTTTGATAATTAGATAAGACCTGAACAAACGTTTGTCTGTTCCAGAAACTCCCAAATCGGCGAAAAGGAGGGGGATAAGCTTATTTAGAGTAGGAAAACGATACGGAGATTCCTTTTATCCTTGGAATATACAGACAGGTAAGTAACATGTGAAGGGTTACCTTTAATCTGTTGAAGATAAAGGGCCTGTGTATCTGTTTTGGGATTTAGTGATTGTAAACAACGAAGTGAATGAGCTTAAGCACCCATTGATTTAAATAGCTGCAAGCTGTTATAGGTTCAAGAACCACCTTTACAATTATGATAAAACCGTTTGAATGAAAGAAGTTAAGCTCTGTTTCTGCACTTTCAAGATTGAAGGAGATTGATACACATAATTCTTCCTATAAGATAATACCTAGTATTCCTAAACAGGGGAAATAGAAGACAAAAACATTTTTAAACAGCTTTTGTTTAGCTGAAATAAATATTTGACAATAATTTTTCTTATTGGAATTACTACTCTTGCTATTAAAATATGACATGCTTTTAATGAAACAACTGAAACTTAACCTGTGATAAAATCATTTTTTGATCTTCTGGCCAACAGAAACCACTTTCCACTGACGTTTCAATTGTTGTAGACTGAGAGTACACAATAAGCCTTACGGCTGAGCTGTAAGTACTAGTGCACGGAGCCCTGAGCCCCTTGCTATAAAAGAAAATGGCATCCAGTAAGCTGACAATTTCTGAGCAACGTTGCCTTCAACTCATTAGGGATTATATTCGGTGCAAATCAGTTCCTCTTAGGCCCGTATCGTCAGTCGTCCCTACAATTGTAGGGCGCCTTTATGGCCTCCTTGATTGTCATAGTTTTCTACTTCTCCGTGTCAGAACTCTATTTTGAGGTTATGTCACAAACATCTATTTGCATCAAATTGTGCTTGCTTTTGAGTTATATCATGTTTTATCAGCCTGAAATTTCCTACAATTTAAAAAAAGCATATCTTCACAATAGGAGAGCGCTGACGCTGACACGGGACAAGTGTAATCTAGAAATTTTTCAAGGAGAGAAAGGAGTATGACAATCAAGGAGGCCATAAACGCGCCCTACAATTGTAGGATCGACTGACGATACGGGCCTTAGAGAAACGTTGGCTACGAACCTCTATAGCAAAGGGATTACATGGATCATGCCAGTCAAACAGGCTCATACAAGCAGTACATAGTCAAACAATGTGATTTAGTCTACCGCCCCCATATTTATTTTTTCTTGTTTTGGCCTTTTTTGCGCCGCCACTGGAGATGGTTCCAAAAAGCTTCATTGTCCATGGCATAGATGTTACCTTGTGCGGAAATTTCATCAGTATCCGATCGTCACCTCCCAAGTTATAGACGGGCTAAGTATTATATAATAATAATAATGTATTTTCCTTAAGACAAAGTTTGTACAGAAATCGTCAAGAGACATGAAACTATATTAAAACAAGTTAATAAACAACTCTTACACACTGATAAACTCACAGACATTATACAAACTTTGTGATTTTTATTTGCTATTCCTTGTATATCCGTTGGAAGGATGTTAAAGATTTTAGGACCAAGTATATTTGACGATTTATTTCCTACTTTGAATTTAGAAAAACCTGGATAGGAAGAATTAGCGGACAGTCAGACAGAAATGAGTGGATCCAGATGGTGTATGAACCCACCTAACAATTATATAAGGGTTGCGAAAACGTTTATATGTACAGTATAGTATTCCTTACATAGCATTGTATTTGCAAGAGTGCTTTAAAGCGAATATTCATGCGTAGCTTGTCTCGAAGAAGAAAAATATTGGTTGTGGCATTTAACCTAAAAAGATGACAGCAGAGACTTAGGTTATGGGGATGTTGTATATCTGTAAATATTGAGCAATAAATTATCCAGAGCACATCAATTTTGTTTTAAAAAAGTTGTATAAATGCTTCTGTTGGGAGCAACTTGTTGGCTAAAGTACTAATTTTGCACACCAAATCGACAAGGTTCGGCACGGGTATCACGTATCTTGAAAAGTGACATTATGCCGATTTTTTTTTACATTATGCTGTTTTTTTTTGACATTATGTAGGTTATTCTACAAGATGTTAACTTAGCACTTAGTTGTACGTGTTGCCTAAACGTCAAGAGGCTTGTTATCCATCTTTGGCTCTGATGTGATGTAAAATCTGCTACTGAGATGGCACTACTGGAGGTCTAAGCTGTAAGTTCTATGTGTTGATGATAATTACATTGGGTTCTTGTCTCATATCCACTTAATTGAGATTCAAAGTTAGAAATTAGTTGCGCATCCACTTTTTCTTATCCATTCTGAAAACTACATGTACAAATTTGCTGAATTTCAAAAATGAGAGAGATCAGAAATAATTATGTTCACTGTACACTGTCGAATTACAAGCCATATACATGTTAACAGTAATTACACACAACGCAGGCGCGGTGATGATTTCCCGTAATTCTCCTCAGTTTTTTGTAATTCATAACTTTGAACATAACCTCTCTTCAGGAAGCACAACATATAAATATCCCTTCATATTCAGCATATTGAGTAATGCTTTTCTCACACAGCAAATATCACTGATTTTATACTCATGCAGAAAAATAGACATTCATTATTCAACCAACTTTCTTCTCAGAGATAAAAACTACAGACGCGGATCACTCAGACTCACAAAAATATGCAACCAATGGTGCATGTGGTTAGTTGAGTCATTCTTTCATAGATGGACGTTCACAATGATCCTAATGAGCAAACGTGGAATGACTGTTTGCGCCCTAAAAACTACCTAGTCTACAAGTTGACATCTTATAGGTTTTTTTTGACGTTTTGTAGGTTTTTTACATGATACCCGTGCCGGTTATTTTAAAAATGTTACTATTTACAACATCACACAACTGTTTTGACTATCGAGCTGTTAGGCCATATAAAACAGTTCTGCTAACGTTTATGCAATAAGCAGGTATTGTTTGTTTTAGACGCCCCATTGAAGAGCAAGTATGCTGCAGGAAACAAAGCATTAAGTCAGCATTTTGGTATTCAGGCGACAACAAACGAGAGCTCTCACGGCTTAACACTTCTGTTACCGAAAACTTGTAGCACCCCTTGTTCGGTATAACATTCAGAAAACATACATTTCACTTTAGAAATTTTATGCAATACCTCTACACCAGTGGCGTAGGAAGTAAAAATAATCTCGGAATACCATTTTCACAAAAGCTTCTTGCAGGACTATCACATTGTCTCGTACCGACACTGAAGTACGTCGTAGAATGGATAATCGAAAGGACATCACGTTCAGAACTTTCTGTAATTGTTTCTCAAAAGTGCTTGTTCAAGGATCACGAGTAGACCCAAACTGCATTTTATACATCGACGTTGTTGAATAGTTCTGGTAAACTTAAATTGGTTATGGCGTTCACTTTGCAGAAATACACCTTCATACTTCTATCTACCGATCTGTTTATCTGTTGTCGGTTGAAATACTGTCTTATCAGCCAGGTTTACAGCGTGAAGCTTTCCATGCGGCTTTTGGAGCAAGTTTCTTCTAGGCTATTTTCGTAGATATCTTAGCTCTAATCAAGTATCATATTTTCTTATAAGAAAAAAGCGTGTCAATATCAAGATTCCTCTCATTGAGATAAGTTTTGGTCCCGAGATACTATTTCCCGTGCCAGAATCCAATAGCTGCGTTCCAATATTCTTCGTCTCTTACTCAATGTTTAAATTAGTTTTTTATTGTGCTCTTCGACATGTACATTGCTGCTTATAGCATCTGTCGCCTCAACGGCTTCGATTTCATGTGTGAACTTCTATTTAACTTGACCTACCTATGGTATATGTAAGTGTTAGACAGATCTTGGAACTGACTTTTGAACCGGTTAACCATAAGCGATAAGCTCTTAAAATATGGAGTTGATTACCTTGTACAACAGCTGCAACTCCTTATTCAAAAAATAATCACCACGAACAGAATACCGGAGGAATGGAGGAGAGCGATCATGCTGATGTTTTTCAAGAAAGGAGACAAGAAAGACTCCAATAATTATCGAGTAATAAATCTGTTAAATACAACACTCAAATTGACAACAAGAATAATAGGGACAAAGATAAACGAACGAATAACTCTGCAAGAGGAGCAGCAAGGATTCCGGACAGGAAGATCATCACGGATGCAGTTTTTGTAATAAGACAAATAAAAGAAAGGTCTCTGGAATACAACAAACCAGCATATATGTGCCTGATGGATTTGAAGGAAGCGTTTGATAGAGTGAGAACTATTGAGAATATATATAAAGATAACATACCTATGGTAAGATGTAAAGGAAAACTCTCGCAACCTATCAAGTATGAAACTGGCATTAGACAAGGAGATTCGCTGAGCCCACTAAGATTTAATCTGATAATGGATGAAATCATAAAGAAAGTTAAAAAAAGAAGAGGATATAGAATAACGCCATAATAATAGCAGAAAATGAAGACGACCTACAAAGATTAATTAAAGAAATCGAAGATACGGCGCTCATACACAACATGGTGATTTCAATAGAGAAAACTAACACGTGATGGAAACGGAATACTTGGGAATCAAACTGTCAAGATATGGAAAAGTGGAAGAAGAAGTCCAAAAACAAGTGAGCATGGCGAACAGGGCAGCAGGATGTCTCAACAATACAATCTGGAGAAATAAATACCTCACAACGGAAACGAACACTAGGATATATAAATCAACAATAAGACCGATAATGACGTACACAGCGGAAACAAGAGCAGATACGACGAAAACACAAAGATTATTGGAAACAGCAGAAATGAAAGTCTTACGAAAAATAAAAAACCAAACTCTAAGAGACAGAGTAAGAAGTGAGGAAATACGAGCGAAATGTGGTATGAAGGAAATAAACCTGTGGACCAAAAGAAGAAAAATAGAATGGAATTAACACATAGAAAGAATGACAGAAAATCGAACAGTACGAACAGCAAGAGACAAATCGCCAAATGGAAGAAGATCAATGGGACGACCGGGGAAAACATGGTCAGACAACGTCAATTGAGGCTAAAAACCGAAGTAAAGCAGGCATAAGCCTATTAATAAGGTAGGAAGAAGAAGAAGAAGAAG